CTTTTTTATTATGTGACTTGGCATATAGGTATGTTAGGTTAAATCAACTTATTTTCACCTAAGGAATTTCTGGTATTATTTGTGCCCCTTCATTTAAATACACCCTGTAGATCCCATTCTTTTAATATCCGAGCAATAGAATGAGAAATGAGATAATAAATATCCCATTGTTTATAAAAATCATATGCAAATGTTTTTTATTCTATTTAGATCTTAAGTGTGTAGTACGTTAAACTAACACCAATTAGTAATATTACAGTAACACCTAAATTTAAACTAAATTAATTACTATAGAAGGTACTGAGGAATTTCATTAATCAAAACTATAAACATTTAACAACTTACTTGAATGATAGTTATCTGTCTTCACACAAGGGCATCGCCAAAGGCAGCTGCCCTCCCTCCCCCCTAGAAATTCGAAAAAAGTACAAAAATTTTCTTAAACTAAGAAAATATTAGAATGGAAATTTTTAATAAAACATTTTATTTACTTAAATTTTAATTTTGAATAATTAATACACTACTCTATTTTTTTAAAAAATAATTGTAATAAATTAGTTGACAAAACAATTTAAAAATATAAAATTTTATGTTAAAAGTAAGTATATAGTAATAAGTAAAGTAATACATTTCCATATTTTAAAAATTTAGCTCTGGAATTTTAAATATCGGAATCAAAATGAAAGTTTAACAGTGCATCTAAAGCTATACATATATGTAACGCGCAAATTTTATAAATTTTATAATTTTCGTTGAATTTCTTTATATTTTTAGCAATTTATATATTTTTTTGTTTTTCTTGTATTAAAAAGGTTTTATTAAAAATATTTCTAAAAAAAATTAATTTACTGTACCTATTTCTACCTATAATTTATATTTCTCCGAAACCCTTTCTTATATTGCCCCTCCCCCCTAGCCCATTGGCTGGCGACGCCCTTGTCTTCACATAATATATTTGCTCCTACGTTTTCTAGTATTCTTTTTTAAGATTACGTGCCTACTTTTTTGTTGTTAATTGCTAAGGTATAAGTATTCGATGTGCACCTTTTTAATAATTATTGTAATTTTAATTAAATTGTCTAATTAACTAATCAATATTAAAAATAATTAATATTTTTATAGAAATTATTATTATTAATAATATAGAAAACTTAGGATTAAATTTCGTTAACAAATTCACTAAAAATAATGGCATTTAACATCAAACAGTCCCTAATTTTTAACATCACGGAAGTTCTAAACATAAGAAAAAAATAATGAAATTTACCTTAAGGGCCCCATATTCTTTAAATAGTGTTTTCCGCAAAGACAAATAATTTCAAACATTTAATAACTGAATAATCTAAAGCTTATCAAATAATAGGAATGTTATGTCATGCCACCTGAGTATTTTCAAGACGCCGCAGTAAAACGAATAAACAGGTGCAAAAAACGATCAAACCATCAAGGTTTTAGGTACTGAAATCTACGAAAATACTAACTTTTTTATGTAAATATTCTTTTACTTGCTTAGTCCTACATATAAAATTGTTTACTTTTATTTATAAGTACGTGAAAATAATTCTTAAAATGTGGGGTTAGAATAACAGCAAACGCATGTTTTACAAACGCTTTTTTTTAGTTATTATATTATTTGAGTAAATTTAAATGGTAATAATGAATAAACAAAACATCAAGGTTTTTATTTTTGTGCTTGCTTTTGATTTACACGTTTTACTTTTAAAGATTTCAGTACCTAAAAACGCCAGAAATTTCACTATTTCTCGGCCAGGAATATGGCCACCTTAACGAATACCATTTAAGTTCAAATATTATAAATTGGTTTATTATCAATTATTATCATAACTTTTTAAAAGAGAATGCACATATATTCTTTTTTTACTATCTTTCTTTTTATTTAGCTTTGCCCCCAGAGGATACTCTAACGGAAATATTTAGGTATCATTTCATGTGGATAGTTCCCCTTGCAGTTAGTTTAACTATTAACAACAAAACAATACAGTGACCTGCTTTCATTAGTTTTATTAATAAATTACTATACAAGATTGAGATGGTACAGCTAAGTTTGTGTAATACCTTTCAACACATCAGATTAAGTAATGAAGACAAAGCTAATAGTTCTGATGTTCCATCACATTCAGCGACCCAAAGTCCAGAATAGCTTTAGATTAACCATCTCAACGATTTACTTATTTAAAAAAGAAAATTTGCTAAAATGTTAATAATTATATATTTAATAACAGTAAATTTTTAATACCATTTTTTATATGTACCTAGTTAAGATGAAACACATATAAAGTTTTTGTAGTTGAAATTTTCATTCACAAAAGTAAACTGCTAGTCTCTCATCTGAGAATATAGATATTGTAAACCAGATTAGAAAAAGTTAACAAATCGTAATAGTTTGAAGTAGAATCGGTATTACTATCGCCATCTTGAAGTGAGGTTCTGAACTTACTTGTCGAATTATGTAACCAAATAAAGTGCGCATATCTAAAATCCTCTAGAAATTCCAGGATGCGCAAGTAGACATCAGATGGACTTATTACTTATATGTGTACTGAAATAAAAAGTAAAAACACTTTTAGTATGTACAAAATATCCTTATTGTAATGACTTCACTAATAACACTGAATAACAAAATAAAGAACAATAGAACAGGGCAGCTAATTTTCTAGTTTTTTAATATAATAAATCCAATAGTAGAGTAGCATGTTGTTTTGTGAATATATGAAATCAGAAACAAATGTCAAACAATGTTAAAATGATGAGAGAAACCGAACTTAATATTTTTACATTTACACATATATCAGTAAGACATACGAGGTCTGTTCAGAAAATAACTGAATTTTATTTTATAACACTATTATTAATTTTATACATCATTGGTTCTTATCCCCTTCAAAAGTACTCTACTCCTCACACACTTTTCCCATCGGTGTTTCCGTTATGAAGTCCTAGCTAACTTCATTTGAAATGGCCTTTAAAGTCTGTGACGAATTTGCTTTGATGTCATGAATCTGAAAACGGCGTCGTTTTAGCACTGATTTTAATTTCGGATATAAGAAAAAATCTCAAGGAACCGGCCTGGCAATTAAGAATTGGAGGGGGGGGGGGATGATGACAGTAATCTGGCTCAAAACAGACGAATTGACAAAGGTAAGTGTGCGGACACATTCTCTTTTTGCAATTTTTTTCACGTAATCGTTGTAAAGCGCTTTGAAAATACACACGATTAAAAACAGTGAGCATCACTTTAATATTGGATCGAAACTGAGGTGCTTTCTTGGGGCGTGGAGACCATTTGCCAGTCAATTGTGATGACTGAACATTTGTCTTAATGTCGTAGACATAAATCCAGCTTTCATCTACCATTATGATCCTTTGAATGAATGTTTCATCGTCATTGACAAAGAGTCGCCGACAAATGTCTACACGATTTTCTTTCTGTTGTTCGGTCATCAAACGAGGAACAAATTTTGCTGCAACTGGACGCATGTTCAATTTTTCAGTAAAAATTTGGCTTGACCCATTTGAGATGTTAATTCTTCTGCAGCTTCTTTGACAATCAATCGGCTAGTTGCACGCAACAGATCTTTGACTTTCTGAACGTGGGAATCATCAGTTAAAGTCGAAGGCCTTCTTGGTCGAGGATCGTCTTCAATGACTAACGACCATTTTTAAATCGTGAAAACCATTGCTTATGACCCAGAACACCATCTCCGTAAGTTTGTTTCAAAAGTTGAAACGTTTCCATGAAAGTTTTCCTCAGTTTCACACAACATTTTATGTTGTTCCGGAAAATCGCACACTTCAAAAATCGTAAGCGTAATTTAAAAAATTCGGTTATTTTCTTAACAGAGCTCGTATATATACAGCAACAGATTTAAATTCAGTGTTTCATTTCATTCTTTATGGTTTAGTGAAAATGGTTTAGTTATTTTCCAATTAGATTAGATTTGAACTAATAACACCGGCACACAAAAAAAAGTGGTACCTTTGATTTGACCCAATAGACTATGTATTTTGTCGTGCTGAATCCGAATCTGATAGCTCAAACACTCCAAAATTTTGAGTAATTGGCAAAAAATAGTGGAAAATCGCAGAAAATCACGCTAGTGATTGCAAAAAAATTCGAAAAAATTTGTTCTGAACTTAATCAAGTGGGTTTCTTATGTATTTTGATGTACTGAATCCAAGTCTGAAGTCTTAAGTTACACCCCCCCATATTTCGCAAAAATAGCGACCACTATTTTTGTGTGCTGGTGTTACTGTTACTTTAAGTTAAGCATAAAAGGTATATTAATTGTATATCAAATAATATTCGCAATTAGTTTCTCCTGTAACTAAGCTAGCAGACATACTAAGAGTGCTGTATCAAATCTGTGTGTTGAAATGTTTACATGTACATTTTATTTTTAGTAGTAATAGTCGAACAATATACTAATAATAGCTTGTATATCACTCTCAAAATGAAATAATTCGAATGATTTCAGTAATCAAATATTGATTATTATTTTCTGCTTATCCTAATAACACATTTTTTTAGTAATTAATTTTCTACTGACCCTATTAGACTATACTACTGGACGACATGCGAAATATATTTATTAGTGCACCACTTAATATAAGTTTAATAAAATTTAAATAGTTTTAATTTATTAGATTTTAATGCTAGCTTCTACATTTAGGTAAATTGAATATCCATTTTCTTGATTATTTTTTCTGCGAATTACCATTCACTTTCAAAAAATTTCGTTAATATATGAAGTTTGTTGTTTGGAAGAAACAGATATGGTCATATTTTGGTGGTAAGGACTGTATCTTCAGAGAAAATTTCATTTGAAACTGCGGGGGACAGTATCTCACAATTAGTCATCTTCCTGATTTCTTGAACATGAAGAACCTAAAAATTGATAATTTAGATTTAGATTCTTCTGTATTTTGCGATGTAGTTTTCTCAAAAGCATACTCGGCAAACAAAAATTTTACCTTCATTTCTATTTTCCTTCCTTTGATTTGTTCTTCATCGACCATTTTCTAGACATCTTCCTCAATGTAGACGACTTATTACTGAAGTTCGGAGGAAGACAGAGCATTTCAATTGCAGAGGGTTTCCTTTTAAGTTTACTTTGTACATGTATTTCCGCGGTTGGAATCTCAGATGTTTGTCTTGAACATTTTACAGATCTTACATCAAGTTCAATAACTTCTTCCTCAACATCCGACGATTCTTTGTAACTTGCAGTATTTCTTTTACTTGTAGAACTTGACCAAATTTTACTAATCTGTCTAGATCTTTCAGTCCTACAAATCATATTCCTCAGTTCCTGCTTAAACCTCGGATGTGACAAAGCGTAGAGAAACGGATTGAGGCAACTCGCTGTCTTACAAAATACAGCTGGAATCATGGACGACAGGGGAGATATGAGGTGCTGTTGGTCAAATATCCCTAAAAGAGCTACTACAGAGTAAGGTGTCCAAGCTATGACCCACAAGCAAATGGAGCACATCACTATGATCGCCAGTTTCACCTCCTGCTTTTTACTGCTTTCTTCTTTTACATGGCGGAAAGAGTCTTTACTGACAACTGATCTAGAAGTGACGACTTTGACGATGTTTACGTAGCTGAAGGTAATCACCAGAAAGGGCACCACCCATGCAGCTATGAAAAAGGCGAAAATGAAGTACCTCTCGTCTGCATCGTGGGTTAAATAGTCAAAACTGCAACTGGTAAGGTATCCCTCGTAAGTATATTTTCCGAGGCCTATATCTAAAACGGGTATAAGGGAGAACGTCAAGCCATAGAGCCAGATAATGATGAGGCATATTTTCACTCTTAAATTAGAATAGACCCTTTTTAGGGGAAATTTGATCATGATATATCGATCAAAGGAAATGGCACTTAAGGTAACTATAGAAACTGTGCCACTTAGTCCACCGACGAATCCATACACTCTGCAAGCTGCAACAAGATATTTTGTCATATTAATTATAGTGTCCGTTGACATAGATTTAATTTAATTTGATGACACAGAGATCTTTGCTGGCGTTTATATTTACAATCTGAAGACGAAATTAAAATACGAGATTGCGTCAGTAGGTTACAACAAAGTAAATGTTTAGAGAAATGCTTAATGAAGAGATATAAATACAATAAATTACTTTATACTTTTTTTCTGGATACTGCTCACTTCTTTGCACATTTTTTTTAAATTAAATTTATTTGTCCAAAGCATCTTTAAAAGTTCCAAGGATACCGGGAAAACAAGATTAGGGTGCAAGAAATTAAAAATGGTTATTAAAAACAATCATACATGTTTACATTTACATAAGAAGAACAATGTTAAGAATTGAAGAAATTATAAAATTACAAATCCTTAACATATCTAAACAATTTTTTCTGTGTAGGTACAATGTCCATATTATTTTGCTTTTGTGGTCCATGGTATATTATATTTTCATCCCTCTCAAGTGATTTGTCTTGCACATAAGTAGTATCCCAAATTAAGTACGTCGTATATATACAGGGTGTTTCCTAAGTAAGTTAAAATATTCATAGTGAATATTGGATAAAAAATAAAATCAAAATTCCTTACTTGCAGAATACTGAATGACAGTACCAATATTTGTCTTTCAAGGCAAATTTGATGATATTTTTAATGTAATATTTTTGAGAATGGGAGAAGACCGCAAATATCTGAGAAAATTTTAAGTGTAACCCCTACAGTCTGTGAAAAAACAATTTCATTTTCTATAGTATGACGCAAAAACTTTATATGTAGCTTGTGTTCCATTTGAATATAAAATAGTCATTTTTTTAAGCGAAGTCACATTTTTAGACGGAGTGGAATCTTTTACCTTGATTTATGAAAATCTGGCTCCAGATGTGTGATTAATGAACGTGAGATCAACCAGCTTATGATACCAAATTTTACTGAAATCGGTGGGTTTCAAAAAAGTACCCCCGCCATATTGGATCAGCCATCTTGAATTTTTACAATGTGAATTCATGTTCGTAATCAGCGACCCAAAAAACCTCTTTATACAAAATCTGGTCAAAATCCGCTCAGAATTTAAAAATAGCGATTCCTGCTCGGTTTTTTGAGGTTAGAAAAAAAACCACACGTTCTAGCTCAATTCTGACAGTGGATTTGAATTCAGCAGTCTTTTACATAAAAATATACTATTTGATGTGGAAATAAATTTTTTCCGAATTTTCCCAGTAAATTTTCATCAATTTTCACTATTTTTCACAAGTTTTTTGAGGTTAGGAAAAAATTGTGACGTGATGGGCCAATTCTGACCCCAGATTCGTGTTCAGGAGGCCAAATTACTACGAAAAATATATGTCGCATAAAAAGTATACCCAACTTTTTTTTTGTGTGGCTGTGTAATTTCCATTGTCAGTAGTTAACTCGATATTATTGTGCAAAGATTTCATTTTCAGCCCTGATCTGAAATTGGTCACCCTATAGATATTTATAGTAATGAATTTGTCAACATAATGCTTTCAAAAATAAAAAAATCGTACGGCCAATAAGAAATTAAACATGTAAGGAGATAGAATTACGTCCATGGCAATAAATTTGATCTTAAAATTTGAAACATTTGAAATTTTATCTTAGTAAATCGATTTGGGCCAAAAGTTGTTGGCAGTTATTGCAAACTAATTGAAAACGGTATTACTGCATTCGCATCGATCACTTTCGTAACTCTTGGGATAATGCAAAATGCATTCTATGGATTTACAACTTTAGGCGTGTTTTTAAAATTAATAAATGAACCGTTAAAATTTAATAAGTCCGGTGTTTTTGTATTGTCCTTTCAATTTGATTTCACAATGTTCCGCTGGTGAGTCCCATTAAAATGTTTGTCAAGCTGATTTGCCCACTTGATCTAACGTGTTCCCAGTGTCTCCGATATACATAAATTTTTCACATAATATATACCACAGGAACTTTTTAATTACCATTGCAGTTTTTTAACATTATTCACTTAACGGAAATTTCAAATGTTATTAAAAATTTTCAATTCTGTTGGCGAAATTACTCTAGAATCAATAAGTTTTTACTTAAAATATGCATTATAAAAAGAAAAGATGTGTCATATAATATAACTGCAAATTTTAATATAGGTCAATATTATGTTTTCTTATATGTATAGATATTTTTGTAAAACTGCACGGGCCAAAGCCAAGTCCATCAGAAGTTTATTTTTTATTTAAAAAAGATTATATTACTTGTATACTTTTCCGCAAAAGTATGAATATTCTTGTCTAAACTGATTTGCGCGAGATGAAATTATTTCTGTTTCTATAATTCTATAATTCTATAATTCTTTCATTAATTCATTCCTTTATCGTCATGGTAGTTGTCACACTTTTTGTCCATATTTATCTTATACAGCGTGTCCCATTTAAGTGGAATTCTCCATTACTTTGGTAATATCATTAATATAAAAAAGTGTTTTTAACAAAAGTTGCACCAATTCAATCTCTTTACATTTTAAAATGTTTTCTATTATACAGAGCGTCCCACTTCTTCTGACTTATTACACATAACCTGTATAGTTGAAAATAATTTTAAAAATAATTTTGAAATGTGAAGAGCAGTCTATAAACTAAAGAGATACATACATGCGAATATATTTTTTTATGATTTCACTACCTTAAAATTGTTTACTTGCCTATATGTACAGGGTGGGCAAATAAGCGAGGTAAGCGGCTGTATCTCAGAAACTAGTGATCGTAGAGAGCTACGGTACAAAATTTTAACGGTAAAGCGGGCAAGGGAAAATGCTGGAAATTATTTTCAAGTTTCCAAGATGGCCGCCAGTGGGCGTTTCCACCATATTGAATTACATAAAGTTACGTTTCTCACGATTTTCCCCAATAAATGTAACAAAAAAGTATTTGCGTTTTAATGTTAACTTAAAGTCGAACATTTTTTGTAAAAACAATTTTTCTCTATCTTTCGAAATAAAGTGGTGGGGGGTATTTGAATGTTGTTTGAAATAAATGCCTGTAACTTCGAAACGGCTTAATGGATTTGGATAAATTTGGTATCATTGAAAAGAGCATTTCTTGGGCTTTTAGGTTTCTCGTAATCATGACAGTTGCGACCTACACGGCCGCCGATAGAGGGCGTTATTCGATATTATAACCAAAATATTGGATTTTCTCAAAAAATTTAAATGCGATGATATGACTTTTTTTAGACTAGAAAATAGACAAATGACCAACCAATAAGCCTGCGCAAACCGCATCTTAATATCTTTTTCCTAACTCAAATTATTAAAAAAAAA